AATGTATATTCAATGTAAAATGTAAATTGAATTTATGATTTTATGTAATTTGTGTTTTAAGTAAGTTTGTCATCGGCAACTTTAAGTAAGTATGTGAATTATGAGCACCACTGCTGAGTTTTATACTCAGCGCGTTGATTTTTATCACGCGCAGGTAAAAGACTGTGGTTGCTGCTTGAAGCCTAAAGGAGTAGCTCAGAGCAGAGTGACTATTGTGGTAGTAGTAGATTGAGATTATATGTAATTAACCGAATTAATGGCATGTATATATTATATTTTCGGAGATTTTGTGTTTATTTGGGAATGATACTGAAGTATGTAGATTAGCATTATGTGGTGTATATATTCCGGGAGAATAAGCATTAAGATATTAAATATTGAATATAAAATATTTGAAGAGAGCTAGTATGATTAGTTTATTAAGACTTGATATATATAATGAATGCAATTAATTGATGAATATTAAAATGCTATTTAGGATTGATATAATTATGAAAATATAGAAGTGTTATTGTGTTATGATGATTATTTGGAGATGTAGGGAGTTTGAAGTTTAATTGGGAGTGTTTTGTATTCACATGTTTGGTGAGCTCAGTTTTTAAAGGGGGAAATTCTTACAGTATTTCTGCAAGATTTTTCTCAATCTATTTTTCAAAAAAAAAAAAAAAAAAAAAAAAAAAGAGATGAAAACGAAATAAACGATTATCTATTAAAAAAAAAAACATATTACTCGCTAAACTTATGAATACTCAATTACTTTCTAATTCATAATCCTTATTTTACATGATTTTGTATGTTAAGTTAAGAACGGTGTCTGCCGGCACGAATGTACATCCGTCGTCAGGTCTCATGGGATGGGTGGAGGGTGTTACAACAAGTTTTAAGCATCATACTAACAAGGACTTATCTCTATGGCCCCATCTCTAATCAAGCATCGACCAGTGAAGAATTTTGGGCGGTAAGTCTCCTTTAGTTAGAACATCCGCTATCATCAGATCAGTAACTCGTCCCATAATGGGATGACTCAATTGATCACTTTGTGTGTTTTTTGCACTTCTCTCTTTCACCGATGAGGTACTATTAAAATCCATGGTGCTTGGCACGCCTTAGAGTACCTATCATTCTTAGAGAAAGAACGCACAGTTATGAATTTGATCAATAGTAGTAGCATTATTCTTCAACAGTCCTAGCTAATCATTTGGATTTGTCGACAATGCCTAGACCTGAGACAAAGTTCCGCACCACAATGCATGAACAGTGGCCTCAAAGCTTGCCACAAATTCAGCCTCCATAGTGGAAGTAGCAATGATAGACTGCTTTCCACTTTTCCATGATACTGCTCCTCCAGCTAAAAGTGTCACACCCGACTCTAATTACCAGAGGAATTGTCTGCTTTGGCCACAGGGTTGTGCCCCTGCCTAATCCGGCCAACATATACACCCGCCCTCACGGTTCTAGATGGCTGGACTTTCTATAAGTGAGTATATGATCTTTAGTGCCTTGTAAATACCTAAGTACTTTTTTTGCAGCTTTCCAATGGTCCATCCCGAAACTACTTTGATATCGCCCTAACATTCCTACAACAAAACTAATATCCGGTCGAATACATGCTTGAACATACATTAAGCTCCCAACCACTGACGCATATGGAATAGACTCCATCTCTTTAGATTCCAAATCATTCTTAGGACATTGCATTTCGCTGAACCTATCTCCTTTCTGAATTGGAACTATTCCTGCGGAGCATTTTTCCATTCTGAATCTCTCTTCTCTAATACCTTATCAATGTAAGCTCTTTGAGACAATCCTAACGGTCTTTGTGATCCATCATGAAATATTTCTATTCCAATCACAAAGGATGCCTCTCCCATATCTTTCATTTCAAAGTTCTTAGAGAGAAAACCCTTTACATTATGCAACAACCTATATTTTTATTTCAAAAAGTTCTTAGAGAGAAACTTCTTTACATCATGCAACAACCCAACATCATCGCAGCAAGAAGAATGTCCATCACAATTAGAGGACTAACATGATGATTTTGCTCCCACTGACCTTCATATAAATACACCGATCAACAGTGTTTTCTATAAAACCATATGAAGTGATGGTATTATTGAACTTAAGATACCATTGACCAGAAGCTTGCTTTAGTCCATACATTGACTTCTTTAACTTACACACCAACTTTTCCTTTCCTGTGACTACAAACCCCTCTGATTGGTCCATATATACTTCCTCCTCTAAGTCACCATTAAGAAAGGTTTTCTTTTTTACATCCATTTGGTGAAGCTCTAGATCATAATGAGCCACCAAAGCCAAAATAATTCTTAAAGAGTCCTTTTTGGAAATTGGAGAAAAAGTCTCTTTATAATCGTTTACTAACTACTTTGATGAAGCTCTAGATCATAATGAGCCACCAAGCCAAAATAATTCTTAAAGAGTCCTTTTTGGAAACTGGAGAAAAAGTCTCTTTATAATCAATGTCCCTTTTTTCACGGAGTTTCTTTTCACGCTCTCTCAAATAACCTATCACCATACGTGTTTGAGGTAGTCGTTGCACTCTCTCTTTTCTTTCCTTAACCCTAAGCTGTTCATTCCTTTATCTTTTATAAGGCAAAGGAAGGGTATTAAAATCCTAACTGGTCCTCATCCATTAAGCCCAATAATCATCATCTTGGGTCACCTTAATTAGATCCAGCCCTTTAATCACATGGGTCACATATAGATTATTAAATAATCTAACATTCCTCACACGTGATTGGATATCCTTGACTGTGGACCCTTAATCTAGAGAAACTATCTCAAAGATTATATATAAATAAACTACTCAGATTTAAATTAGTTTGCATTTAGGTGTTGATATTTAACTATATTTTTTGACACATCATCAAATCTTACGAAAATGCTTGAATAAGATCCTTACACATGATGGTGAAAAATTAAAAGACCCATAGTGAAACTAACATTAACTATATTCAAATCAATTGAATACTGCAGAAAATGAAAACAGACAACATCGGTTCACCGAAGTAGATGTTAAAAGCCATGAAGTAGGGTTCCTCTCTCTGGAAGTCCCAATCTTCTCTTAATTTTTCTTGCGTTTTCACGAAATAAATTAAACAATCAATATAGAATAGGTTGAGAAAGCCATTAGGTGTTCTAATGGTGATTGATAGATTGGATATGGAAGCCGGTGATGATTGGGCTAGGGTGTAGAAATTTCTTCACTCTCCCTCACACTCTATTTCTTCTTCCCGATCTCCTCTTCATCTTTTCCCTTTTTTATCTTCTTTATTTCTTCCCTCATCCTTCTCTTCTTCTTCCTCCTCTTCTTTTATTTTTCTTTCTGGATGATTTATCTACACTCAATGTATAAGTGGTCTCATACATCGACCCAATCTAGAGAAGTTTTTTTTATATCCATTATATCCTTTTTTTTCCCTTGTAAATGGTTAGAAATACTCTTGTTATAACCAAAAGTTCATTTTTTATGGATTTTGTGTATGAAGTGGGCCCATATACTAAGAGTCTGTTCGGCAATACTAGCTGTTCTAGTAGTTGTTAACTGTTTTAGTAGCAGTTAACTGGTAGAAGTTAGCAGCTAGCTATTAGCTGTCTATATAGTAGTTAAAAGCGAAAGTGTTCGATAAAAATAGTCGTTTAATTAGCTATAAATTTAAAATAACAAAAAAGGACATTGAAATATTCACCTAGAATTTTCAATTAAATTCATTATAAAACAATGATTTCACTATATCTAAATTTTCAAAATTTAAGGGAGCAAAAATTGAAAAGTTCACTATTTGATAAATAAAATGGGAAATTTTTAATATTTTAGGGAATCAACATTTTTAATTTTTAATATTTGTTTGAGTTTAAATACAAACATATAAATAAATTTTTTTTTTTTACGATCAAATATAAATAAGCTAAACATAAAGATAATAAAACAAGACCTAATGTGATAATAGAAAGATTTTATATTAATTAAGGATAAAGATAACGTTGTAAAAAAATTTTAATAAAAAGAGTGAAACACTGGAAGTTAGTAGGATAATGTTAACTTCTTGTCTTCTAAATCCATTCGCTACTTCATTTGAAAAAAAAAAAAATTTATTCGCTATTTTATTATTGTATTAATTAATTCCTTTATTGAATCCCATGTCTCTAATTATTAATTACTGAGAAAACAATCAATTTATTTTAATAATAAGACTTGTCTACATTTTATGTATGAGACCACCCATCACCAAACCAGTCCATGGTGATTTTCTTAAAAAATTTCAGATTGTTTTATCTTTTTTTTTTTTTTTTTTAAAATACCTTTGTTACAAATAAAACTTAAAACTACCGAGTGTCAGAAATGCTGGGGCTTTGTGTAGAAGGCTTATTCAGGGAATGAGGCTGGAGTCGCTGGGTTTTGTGGCTTTCCTGTCGCGTTCGGGTTGTCCTTATTGTTTTTTGTTTTTTTTTTTTTTTTTCCTAATGAATGGTCCAAAATACCTTTGTTACAAATAAAAACTTAAAACCTACCGGAGTGTCAGAAATGCTGGGGCTTTGTGGAAGGCTTATCAGGAATGAGCTGGGTCGCTGGGTTTTGTGGCTTCCTGTCGCGTTTCGGTTTTCCTTTAGTTCCTAGTGGGTAATTGTGGGCTATTTTGGAGGGACTGAAGTTGGCTAAAGCAAGGGGTTTGCTCGTCTTCTTGTGGAATGCGATAGTCAGGTAGTTGTGGGTGTGATTACGGGTACTTGCTCTACCCCTGGGAATTTAGCTCCGTTGTCTTATCTATCAGACAAGAAATGGCAGGATGGAATTGCAATATCAGTCACGTTTTTCGTGAAGCTAATAGGGCTGCAGGGGAGGTTTCTTTGGGTACGCATGTGCTAGATAGTTGTCCCTCTTCTTTGTTAATTGGATTCTTCATGACATCTCAGGCATAGCCCATCCTAGGATGTACCTGTAGTTGGCTGTTTCTTTTCTCTTATTCACACACAAAAAAAAAAAGAAAAAAAAAACTTTATTTTTAATTAGTTTGGTGTAATAGGGTACATATACCGAAAGTAGGTAAATACATAACATATCATTCGTAATTGTCAATTTATATTGTCTTGAAATGAGATTAGTCTTATATCCAAAAGACAGTGGAGTGGCGTAATTGTAGAAAATCCCAAAAAGAAAAAAATAGCAACTCATGAAATAGCAAACACAAAAATTTGACAAATTAAGCACTAGTATATATATGAATACATAAAAATATTTGGTCCACAACTTAGGAAGATTAGATATATATTTATAGATAAAATATAAGGAGCTAAGGAGCTAGATTGGCAATAACAGTGTTAATTTCTACTTGGATAATTTGGAAATGGGAACTTGTGAGGTAGATGATGTTCAACAACATGAGATGAAGGATTGGGTTTGCATTGGGAATGATGATGATGATCGAGGGTGCTTTGATGAGAAGCAAGAAGCTTATCTAGAAATGACCAATCGCCATTGAACCTTTCTGGTTGCAGAAGTCCACAACCGGTTGATGATGTTAGCCTCAGCAAGTTTTGAGAGCACTCGATATCCATAGTGTTTAAAGAAATAGGTGGTGAAATAAAGGGCGATTCTGGACTGAATAACTGCGGAAGATGCATGGAACCGTCAAAGCTATTATTATTATTGTAATCATATAGTGGTTGAATATGATTCTGTTTGTTGGGCTCCATGTCCAATATTGATGAAGAAGAAGCGTTACCCTTCATCATGCAAGAGTAGTTTGATTCTTCTACTAAGGAACCTCTATTTTGATTCTTCTTCTTGAAAACTCTGCACACGACCCATCCATCTTCCTGCTATATAACAATTTCAGAAGGTTTAGTCGAATTAGGTAGGTAGGCTTGGTATATTACAGATTTACAATAAGAAGCAATCTTTACCAGCTGAACGTGGGAGCTTTGGTCATCATCAAGGCGGTACTCATGCATGATCCAATCAGTTTTTTGGCCATGAGGAGCACGTCCTGTATAGAAAACTAGGGTTTTCCTCATGCCAATCCTCTTGGTATTGCTAAGATGGATGGCTTTGTCCCTTCCTGTTGCTTTCCAAAAACCAGCTGTGGTTGCCCTATTCGTTCTTGTCCCTGTTGGATATTTCTTGTCCTTGTGGCTGAAGAAATACCATTCATTTTGAGGACCAGATCCAATTCTGCATTTATCTGCATTACTTCCACCAACAAATTAGTTAACATCTGTACTTGATGTACAACTTTTACAGCAAGTGAATTCTAACCTAACCTTTAAGGTCCCATGGCTCAAGTTTGTTGAGATCCACTTCCTTAATAACATCAAGGTCAATGGCTTCATAGGACACCTTCTTCTTTAGATAATAGTACACAAGTTCCTCATCGGTTGGATGGAATCGGAAACCTGGAGGAACTGAAAGTTGTCCATTTCCGGCCATCATGATCCTCCTCCGGTTACAACCTAGTCTTCTGGCTGCCCTGACGTTATGATTAATTGCGTCATGAAATGCACCAACGTTAGTGGTAATAGACTAAATAAGGCTTTTTTTTCATATCAGAATTATAAATGATTGTATCATTTGGAGAGTGGTTTGCAACAGATAATAGATCCATTAGGTCACTAGCTCAACCGTTGTGTGTCTATCTTGGTAGTGTAAGAATTAGAGGTTCAAACTGTTGTCAACCCAAAAAGAAAGAAAGAGATACCAAAAGATCATCATTACATGCTTTCTATTGTTTCAAGAATCAAATGTCTACTGTCACTACGTCTTCAGAACATGAATTTTTCCACAAGCATCTAGTAAGCTAGGGTTAAAACTAGCTTTTTCTTTCTACTATTTCTTTCTTTTACATGCTAATCTTGTGTTATAAAACTAGATAACGAAAATTGGAATAAAGCTAGCTAGGGTTAAACAGAACTAACTATATATAAAAACTGATTATACAAATCAAGACTTTCCAATAAAGAAAGGAAAAGTGAGAAAATTAAAGATAAAGGAAAAAGAAAAGCAAACCTTTGCGGTTGGAAAGAATTCTGTCTGCGACAAAGAAGAGAAGACAACCCAATGCAGGAAAAGCAAGCAGCAAGCAGCGGAGCGGCCAAATTCCTTAATTTGCTTAAAGGGCACGATGGATGTGGCTTTCAACAGGACTTTTTAAGAGAGAGAGAGAGATATGTGGATCAGTGCAAAGTTTAAAAAAAGAGACAACCGAGGATGGGAACAGAAATAAAGAAAAAATAATAAACAATAAATTTAAAAATTTTTAAAGAAGTAAATTAACACTTTAGGTCCTGGCAATATTTTTGCCATTAAAAATTTTTGAAGTTTATCGCTACTTTTTTATGATTGAGATGTCTGAATTCCAACTTAATATAAGTTAAATTCATCAAAAATTAATATGCTAGTAAATCTTAACTTGATATCATTAAGTACAATTTTAAGACATGTAGATTCAAATTTAGATCGATAATATACATAAAATTATTATAATATTTTAGAAGTCAAATATAAAAGTTTATATAAAAGCAACCATTGATATACATACCCTGTTACCAGAGAATACCTAATCCGGCTTAGGGTTTAGTCACTGTTAAGATTTATCGCCCCTCCCTGCAGATGTGTTTAGTGGGAATCGAACCTGAGAGTAATTCTCATATACTCGACCTGTGTTGCCAATTGAATCATAATTTACAAGTTGAAAGTGTCATATTTTAGTATACTAAAAATAAAATTTTTAGAAATTTTTAAGAGGACAATGGCACCCGCCCTATATGTGGATTACAGGAAATAAATTGAAAAAAAATAATCAAAATAAGCAGAAAAGTGATTTCTCTTATTATAGTAATCTCTTAATCCCAATGCAAAAGAATTATTTTTAATTAATTCAGAACTGTCCAATAAATACCAGCTAAGAGCTGACCAGTCATATTTGAAGGGAAAAAGGAAAAAAAGAAAAAAAGAAAATGTAAGACGGTGAAGAGGGAGAAATGGATAATAGAATGGTGGTTATGTCCCATATGCGATAAAGGTATGAAAAAGGCATTGGTAAATGTCGGTTGAATGGGAAACCTTATTCCACAATATTTGCCTCATTAAAATGAAGAAAATCTGCTCAACTGTCAATTACCGATTAATAAAACACATGTTTTTCAATATATATTGTTTTTACGTTTGGCGGTTTCTGTTATTATGTATGTATTTGTCAACAATTATGCACACAAATAGTCAAGCCTTCTCTACGATGGAATTTCCCTTCATTCTTTTATTCCACATTCTGTTTTTATCTCTTACCTACACATTTTTAGTTCTTTCTTCTATTTCTTTCTTTGGAATGATGGATTCTTCTTTTGAATTTTTTTTAAAAGAATGAATTGCTAAAACACAATTTTAAAAAAAAGGTGTAATTTGAATTTAAATGTTATATTTGTATAAACACAATAGTGTGTAATTCAATTATATATACTTTTTATTTTCATTTCCACTAAAAAAGAAAAAAAAAGGAAAAGGAAAATTTTACTCACGTGTATCATATTCCTGTAATTCGATCTAGGTGGTTCTTTGAAATTTCTAATAAAGTGCATAAATTTTATTTCATGTGAAAAAGCTGTAATAAAGATTATTTTACAATTAAATTAAGTTATTCAGATATTTAGGACCAAGAAATACTGGATTCTTTTTCGGATAGGCCCTGAAATGAGAAAGGTTGAAATGTCAACAAATGTCTATTATTGAATTCACCGGATTTGAGAATACCCAACATCCAGTGCCAAAATCATTGATTGAGAAGTCTTTAATCCCTAAAATAGATATTTCAATCGTATCAACTATACTCTTATGTAATTCTTGTTAAGTGTAGACTAGGGATTGATCCGCATTCAAGTGGACTCTCTGTTTATTAGACTATGATTAATTTTATCAATTTCACCGATATAAATTTTTTCACTAAAATAATTTTTAGATTTAGAATTGATTTTGAAATAAAAGTTTATCCATAAATCAGCTCCTTTTTTTTTGGTTTGGAATATAAAAATCTATATATTAGGCATGTAAATGTACAAGTGGTCCCAAAATACAAATAGTACTTACTAATCTATGATTATAAAATAAAAAATAAAAAAAAAAAGGAATTGTAGGGGTTGAAGAATTGTACCCTAAAAGGGCTTCGGTCAACTAAAAAAGAGGATGATCTGTGGTACCCTTAAATCATGTTGAACGGATTGCATCAAATTCAGTGCACAGTATCAAACAGTAGGGCTTCTTCTTTTAGTTCTTCAAAGTACATGTGAGCTGCCTCTACAATAACCTTTTCTACCTTTTTCTTGCTTTCCTCCTTTTGCTTGTATTTTTGTATTGTAAATCATTTACTATATTCAACCACAACAAAATTCCTTCAACTATGGGTTTCTGGTCATGAAATGAAACCCCTGGTGTATTTTTTTTTTTCCTGGTATGTAATCGAGATCGGTTGTATCTTCTCATAGTCAATAGTTAATAGGTTATAGCTGATGAATATTGATTTTCGATAAAATTTTGATAGCGATTAATTTAAAATATAAAATACCCATTAAAAACATAATTTTTTTTATATAATAATATATTACGTATAACTTAAAAAAATTTTAAGAAGAATATATTATTTTTATTTTAATGTATTATATAAATCAAAATAAATAATTTTTTATTATTATGTTTAAATAATTATAAATAAATTGATGATAAAAGAATATTAATTAAAATAAATATTATTATTTATTTTTTAAGAGGATAATAAAGTCCAAATATAATATAAATACAAATCAATTAGCCGTTAATATGATAAAAATTTTAATTGATAAAACTTTAACTATTAGCTACTGATTAAAAAAATTAGTTAATAGAACTTTAGGATTAGCCAGTCAATTATAAATTTCAACTGGATTCAAAATTATACTTCTTAAATCAATTTTGGAATGGTTATATTGGATCAATTCTAATATTTCGAGGTCCCAACCAGAGCATAGCCAGCCATGATTTCATTTTTACTTTTCTTTTTTTTTTAAAAAAAAAAAAAAATCCAGCTTTCACACACTAAAATGTGTATTATTGCCAGTCTTCAAAAATTATCAATTGAAATTAAAATTATATGCACAAAATATAAAAAAAATAATTAGACGGCATCAAATTAAAATATAATCATATAAAATTTCTCAAAATAATATATATAAAAAATAAATAATCAACTACTATTGGAATGATAATTTAACTGTTAGGAGAATAAAATTAGGATATTAGAATCTTACATTGGACAAACAACAAACAATTTCAATAAACATTTTTGTGTGACATTATACTAATAATATTCTAATCTAATTAACTAGAATTGGAAATGGATATGAGACGTAATTTGCCGGCGAGGCAAGGGAGGGTAGTATATGGATCAAAGAAAGAGTGAAGCAAAAACCTGAAAGTCCGTGGCATTAACACGTGCTGATCCAACACATATTACTCAATCCAAGGTCTCGGTATCATTATTTAAAATATATATATAATACCAGATAATATGCATACAAGGCCTATGTTAAGATTATTCTTTTCACTCTCTCAAAGGGATTCTCACGCAATCTCTCTTGTACTCCTGGTCAAACACGGTAAAGAAATTAAAGCCTCAAATAATTAGCGTAGACCAAAATGGTCAAACCAAAATAATTAAACCGAGCCAAACTAATCAATTTGGTTCAATTCAATTATAAAATATTCAGTTTATATAGAAAAAATTAATTTTTTTTTTGTTTGGTTCTTGAAGATTTTATAACAATCAATTTGATCTAAAAAGTTAATTAAAACTAAAAAACTGAAATAAATCAAATTAAACCGTTTCGGTTTGATGAAGTTCTATTTATAATGGAGTTCTTTTAATTCGATTTACTTTTTAAATAATGCTACGTACATCTTAACAATATTTACATAATTAACTAACTGGTTTGATGTGCCGTTGCCTTCACGAACACTGCATGCATTTATATATACATCGTTAACAGGCATGGATATGTATATATAGATCCATGAAACTAAAAGGAATCCTATGGCTATCTAGCAAAGATGCAAGCATGTTACACTCGAATTCAACTTTTTTTTTTTTTTTTCTAAAGAATTATTTTTCAATGGTTTTAATGAGATGTCTCTCTGACATTTAGTATGTATTAAAAATTAATATCAACCAAACTTTAAAATGTCACCCATTAAGTATAGTTTGATTGGTCTTCCACCAATTTAGTGAATGGTATTCAAAGAGGAGGGTTGCCCCATATTGTGTAAGCTACAAAGTTATACCGATCCACTGCACCTCCCATATATGAAAAAAAAATGTATAAATGTTCTTTGTATTCGCTCTTTTTAAAAAAGCTTTAATTTAATTTTTTAATAATATTCATATATTACCCTTGTACTTAAAAAAAAAAAAGAATCTTATACTTAAAAAAAAAAGGAAAAAACAAAGAAACTAAGGCATCCAAAATTTTGCGACCCAAAATTGCTTTATAATTATATGTATCTCCTTGAAGTTGTAAAATTTATAACCATTGCATACCCCAAATGCATGAAATACAGATGCACTGATGTCACGACCCGTTATTTTGGGCCAAATCGGCACTGGAATTCCAAGAAGTGTTCATTGAAGTTGTAAAATTTATTACCATTGCACACCTCAAATACATGAAATATAGACGCACTGATGCATGACCTATTATTCTGGGCCAAACCGGCACTGGAATTCGGAGAAGCATTTCAAAGCCTATACCAAGTTATTGATGTGTCTAATCCAATAACTTGAGTAGGCATGGCCAGTTTATTGAACCGCCATTTCCAGTTCATGGAACTGAATGTTCAAGATTTTTAATGTTGAATCTAAATTGGCCTTTGAACT